GTATGGCAGTGCTATGCTATCATGTCTTTACTTTTGAAGCTAATTTGACACTCTAGGAAATTATATAGCTTTAAGATCACAGACTTAATCGACTCCGTTCGTCACGCTCTTAATTTTTTTTTATACTCTCGCAACCTGTTGCTACAGAGTATAATAGTTATGTTCACCTAACGGTTGTTTGTATCACCTAAAACTAATCGAGTTAGATATAGGGTTATGTATATATAAATGATCAGGATGAAGAGACGAGTTGAAATCCGGGTGACTGCCTGTCCGTCCATCCGTCCGTCCGTCCGTGCAAGCTCTAACTTGAGTAAAAATTGAGATATCTTTATGAAACTTGGTAGACATGTTTCTTGGTACCGTGAGACGGTTGGTATTGCAGATGGGCGTAATCGGACTACTGCCACGCCCACAAAACGCTATTGACCAAAAACAAATAAATTGCCATAACTAAGCTCTGCAATAAGATACAAGACTGTTATTTGGTACACATGATCACATTAGGGAGGGGCATCTGCAGTTAAATTTGTTTTTAAGTGGGCGTGGTCCCGCCCCTAATAGGTTTAATGTGCATATCTCTTAAACCGCTAATGTTATAATAACAAAATTCACTGGAAGCAAATGTTTTTAGAACCTCTACCTACAGTGTGAAAATAGTTGAAATCGGATGGCAACTCCGCCCACTCCCCATATAACGCTACTGTTAAAAACTAATAAAAGCGCGATAAATCAAGCACGAAACACGCCAGAGACATTAAATTTTATCTCTGTAATGGTATGAGATAACTTTATAGGAACCGCGTTCAAAATTAGACAGTGGACGTGGCACCGCCCACTTTTAGGTGAAAACCCATATCTTGGGATCTGCTTAACCGATTTCAACCAAGTTCGGTGTATAACGTTCTTTTTATATTTCTATGTCATAGTATCGAACTACAACCACGCCTATTTCCCATATAACACCATTTTAAATTCCATCTGATTCTTTCACTTTCCACTATGCATATCAAGCAACAATGATTATATTGGGGTAAAACTTTGCGTGAATAATACGTTTAAAGTATACCACCTTGTGACCAAAAATTGTCTAAATCGAACCGAAACTGTTTAAGCCCCTAAGTACTAAATATGTGGACCCCAGTGCCTATAGTTGACCTACCGAAAATATCAGTCAATCCACAAAGAAATCTCAAACGAGTATACCATTTGACTTTGCGAGAGTATAAAATGTTCGGTTACATCCGAACTTAGCCCTTCCTTACTTGTTATATATATAAATTTTATCCTAGTTACGGTACTTTTAAAAAAAATAGACTTTGCGTTTTATTCATATATATAGAAATATGGAATGCGCGCCAACAACGTTTGAAATTAAGCTGAACATTTTTTCTAGCAGCGATATTTTTTCTCTGTACCATATATAGGTTCATTTTAACCCATAAATACTATTTTCCAATTTTGTTGGATTGACCCTAATATGCATTCTATATATACACATGCACATGCACGCACTTGTTGACATTTTCCTGCAGCCTTTGCGCGGCACCGATGTTGCCACACAAATTTGAACGCACGCCATTACGTAACAGCAGCTTGTGTTGCCGCTCGTGACGCGGCCAAAAGTCTAAATTCAAAATCAAATTTCGTACGCTTCAAATATTTTTATGGCAATTTTTCTCTGCCCGCTACACCACATCGCCATAGATTTCCAATTCATTTTTTCTTCCATTCTCTTTGTACACTTGTCCGTGGGTATGTGTGGGTAGGCGCCATTGCCAACCGCTGCTCTTTTTAGCGCGCGAATTTGATTCTTTGCTGCGGTGTTGTGTTGTGAACGAGTTGAGCGTTACGGCGCGTTGCGTTGCGCTCCGGGGAGTTTCGCAGCTGAAACGTGGTCAATTAAGTTTGCTACGTAACAACGCGCTGGCGTGCATTTATGCTCCACTGTTCACATGCATGTGTGTTTGTGTGGGTGACTGTAATTGAATGTACATTTATGGCACAGTTAGTATAACTTGCCACAGAACGCTGCACAACTACCGAATTATGTCGTTGCATTGCCGTCATTACCGGCGGTGCTGCACAAAATGCAAAATATGCACCGCTACACACCCACATACGCTCATCAACAAACAACGGTGGTTCAATATAGTAGCTGCAGAGCATATGCTCCCGAATCCGCATGGTTGCCTGTTTTGCTCATTGACAACTCCCGTGTGTTGCTGCAGGCGTTCGTGTGTGTCTGTGTATGAGAATAAACTTTCCGCTTGGCGATATAGAATAGGCAAACGATAAATTCGCGCATATTAAAATGCACAGTTATATGAATATAAAACAGTTATGTATGCTGATTGCATAAGCGTAACGTTTGTGAAAACTAAAAAAAAAAAACTGTTTCAAAGTTGTATTACGAATTCACAAATCCATAGTGGCTACTGATTATAAATTCAAACTATTTTTCGTTTTTAGCTGTGATGTATTTAATTGTAAGATAATAGTAAATTTCTCGCCTTGTTTTAGCAGCTAAGCACACAAGATTGAAAAAATAAATAAAAATATGTTGCATAATTTTTGGCGCCACTTGCCATTAGGGTATTTCATTTACGTAATTGAAAGATGTATAAAATTACTAAGCCGTGAATGAAGTTATTAACGTTGTATCATAGAAATTTTTTAAACTTGATAAGTAGTTGTACCAATCTAAAAGATTCCCCTCGGGGAAATTCCAAATTCCAGTGAAAATTGTTCTATCTACAACACTAACATTTAATTTTTATTGAATGGAGTCTGATGATATCGACACAAACAAAATGTGCTAGTATTATCAATGGCAATTAAATTGTCTCTCAAGGGCACATCATGCTTATTGCAAAAGTATTTCAGTACACACAGCCTTGTACACTCTTGCCTCCTAGCTCAAGGGCACCATAAGGAACAAGAAATTGGGAGTGAGGACTTTCCTCGATATCGAGAAGGCATTCAACAAAGTTTTGCCGAAAGCGTTTATAGGTTTCAGATTAAATTGAACATTAAGCATCTCATGTTCAAACTTCTCTACGATAGAACAATCCTGGCGGAATGTGAGCAGGGGCGGCCCAAAAAGAGAAGTTCTCTCACCACTGCTCTGGATCACGGTTGTTGATGATCTTCTAAAAAATCTTGAGAAATTCATCTACCGGGTGATTGCCTACGCGGACGATGTAGCTCTCATAGTTGGGGGAAAATTTCTGAAAACATTGTATGAGAGAACAGAGGTACCTTAGCATCGTTAGCAACTGGGCTATTGAAAATGGCCTGTCCATAAATTCTAGCAAGACCTAACTAGTTTTACTTACTAGAAAATACAAAACCACGGCGTCGTATTCACCATCAATGGGAGCGACGTTTCTTTGGCCTGCTGACAGAGGAATGTACCTAGGTACCTACCAACGTCGGGGATACAACAAGAAAGGAATCGTTTGCCCTGTATTTCTGCAAGAGATGCATTGGCAAAGAGTCGGGACTCTCTCCCACAATGACGCAAAATACCTTGCTGCATGTAGCAACGGTGGACTCAGATTTTCCAAATTCCATGGGAGGGAAGGACTCGTTGAAGAAGAGGGCGTTAAGCTTTTTTAGGGATAGATCAAAGTTTACAGGGAGGGTTGGTGGAGACATACTCTATCAGGATTTTTCCATCAGCTCCTGTTTTAGGCTTCTTCACTACTGTAGCGTTTTCCAAGCGGAGGTGACTGCCTTAAAGATAGCAGTGAATCTACTGCTCCGGAGAGTAGCCTACTTTAGATTGACCATATTATCGGACGCCAACTACATCAGCTGTTTGAAAGAATACGAGATAGAATCATCTCAACACTTCCTCCGCAAATGTGCCGTCTTTACCAGATCAAATCAAAAACACCTCAGATTTCATACTTCCTACTGATATCCAGCCACAGAAGTTTTTCGTCTTACTTCATAAATGTAACTGACTTCATGTTATGTAGAGTAACAGTCTAACTGTGATCCCCCCTTAGAAATTGAATTAACTTCAAAAGTGTGCGAAGTTCGGAGATAGAGTCAGCTCTTTTTCATGACATTGAACTCGGATTGGCTTTTATCCTCAATCTGCCATCGAACAGTCATCATCATCGGTATGTAAATTCTGGAAAACCAAAAGAATATTCAAAGGGGGGATAAACGGACAAGGTCGCTTATAATTTGGTTCTTAAAATAAATTTTACCACTACAAGGTGGTAACCAACAATATAAACTTAAAAGTGTACGAAAGGGACAAGAGCTCATGATATATTGATAAAGACTATTTCTGACGACATTTAAACCTTCTCATATATGTATAACTAACATTTAACAGTTTCTGATAAGAACTATATATCAAACGTCGCAACAAGTTTAAAGATTTAGGAAGCTTATAACCTGAATTATAAGCAATCTATGCAGGATCATTCGAATCTACAGAACCCCGAGACACCGGTATTTTTGTAGTTTGCGAATTTGGAGATTCAGAAAAATAATTATTTACCTCGCTTAAGAGTTCGGTTCCCTAATAATAGAAAATTTCAAATGCTACACTTTTATATAAAAAAAATGTTGAAGCTAGTGCTAGTAGTATATTTTTATAAAATTCTACCTATACATATGTATATGTTTCTACCTTAATCGTATCGATCTCATCATAAAATCATTCATGCGAAATTAGTACTTCAGTTGAAAAACCCCCTTAGTTTTTGCAGTAGTTGTTTTATATGCCAAAAATAAAAATATTATTCTACTAGACTGTCTAATTCTTCTACTTTACATACATACTTTCATATCTAAATAAGCCTTCTTATATCTATGTACATATAATAACTTGCATGCAGTTATGTTCGGAGTTTCACAACCTGTTTTCGAGTTACAGTTAAAGTTCCGTTATCAAAAGTAAGATTTAACCCCTATAAGAGAAGCTTACAATAACAATATGAATTTTGAAAATTTTAATAAATTCAAAATACGCACAGGAAAAATCCAAAAACCGCAAACGGCAAAGAAAAAGATATCGAAGTTCTTCAGCAGAAAAGTGGATCATGAGGCGATGACAGTGGAAACAACCGCAACAGAAGATAACAAAAAATTGACAGGTACCAAACCAAAGCGACCCGCACCAAAACCGCCTGAAATAAAAGAAACGCCGACAGTTGTTTCAAAAGCAAGCAAAACAAGCACAGAACAAGCGATAACAGCAACGCAACAAGTGAAAACAACAAAATCAACAACCACTGTAAGCAAAGAAATAAAATCATCAAAAGATTTCGAATACACAGCACCCACAAGCCGATCACCAAAGCGAGAGCGTGAAGATCACCGTGAGTTCATTGAGCATCTCTTCGCTGCGGTCGCCGATAATAGCGGCAGCGAAGCTGTTGGCAGCACAATATATAGCGACGCCGTTGGAGCAACAGACGAAGAGCGAGAATCGTTAGACTACGATGATGATGACGGCTACAACGTGAATAACGCTGGTGTTATATCGCGTGAGACAACGAATGTTAGAAGCAGGCAAGCAAAACAAACACAAAAACATGCCATAGAAGCTGGCCAACTGGAAGCATCAACAGTTCATTCCACCACGACGCTGGAAGATTTCCAAGCGCTACCTACTACGCCGACAATAAACAACAACGCTGCCACCAATAGGAATGTCAACGCAAAGGAAAATGGTACGAAGCGTAGTGCTATATTGAGACACGAATTATGTGGTGGAGAGGTGCAGTAGTACAAGCAAGCCGGTTGTATTGTTGTACTCAAGTACTCGCTGAACAACTACAAAAGAGAGGCTCATTCGGGAGAGTGCGTTGTCAGTGTTGAGCTTATGTGCTAGTGTAGAGTTTTGTAGAATTTTATGCATTATGGAACACTACCGTTATCATATCTCAAGCGCTTCACATTCTATTCGGCCCTAACCTATGCTTGGTTATTTCTTGATTTTCATAATTTGCCCAACCACTAATCTTCTAAATGACTGGTTCATTTCTTTTAATTATTATATAGTATTATTATTATATACAACTGCTTAATTTTTAATTATTGTCTCTCCAGTATCTAATATGCTCTCCCAGTCATGAGTATAAGAACCGTAAATCGTAATAGAACTTCCGACATATTTCATAGGGGACCAGAAATGTCGCTCAAATTGGTCTATTCTCCTAATATTTAATATTATTTTTCATTAAGTAACAGATCAGTTTCGAAATTAAGAAGCCTAGTTTAATCATGAATTTAGTTTGAGGATTAAAAACGTGAAACGGAGCTGTGCGTATATTTATATACTACAAAGAAAACGTCGCTGAGCTGAGTCGATTTAGCCATCTATGTCCGTTCGTCCGTCTGTCTGTATATATGAGAACTAGTCCCTCAATTTTTGAGATATCGATCCTTTTTGCTAAAAGAAGCTGCTTATTTGTCGAAAGCGCCGATATCGGACAACTACAGCATATAGCTGCCAATTGTCATAAAAAAAAAACTTCAGAATTGATATATTCAAGACTCTCTCTCAGTCTCTCTTTCTGCATCTTTCGTTCTCTCGGACACTTAGTTCTAAATAAAGGCAGGGAAATTTCTAGCCTCAGTAGGTATAAATACAACATATTCTTAATATTTTCATACTTTTTCAAATAAAACTGAAACTCTGAAATATAATATTTTGTACAAGAGACGACTAGTATATCCTGAAATTTGCTTCCGGCGAACAAAAGTTAAATGATCTATACACGTTCCAACGAAATGAAATTTCTTAAGGCGAGGACGGTCCCTGCGATTGATGTATTTTAAAGCAAATCAGAAAATATACATGTATATGTTTATTTAAATATATATTCATAATTTAGCTAAAAAAAAGTATATCTACAGAATATCATTTCTTTTCTATTCAACTTTTTGCAAAAGTCTCCAAAACGTGCTCTTAGTGATCACAAACAGTAACTACTGACTAACTATAAATTACATACGCATAACCTCTACTCTTTGACAAATTATATAAATACAAAAAGCAAAGGCATATTAGTTTGATTAATTTTGACCCCGAAGAGCCTTCATACTGCTCACATGTGTATATTTTATTTCCGTTTTACAACTGCGGCACGCAACTATAAATGACTGTTTAATATAACGGCGTATAGCACACCTTAAAAATCGCCAAACCAAGCCGCTCATTACATATCTACATTACAAACATGCATACACTTAAACTCTCCAAAGCAGTGCGAGAAATTACAGAATGGACAACACTGACGGCGCTTCAACAAAAGCGTCGCAACAGTCAATAACGCGACGCCGCCGCTGCTGCTCTTTTTTACCGCTGTTGCTTTCAATGCCCATTGTTGGGCTTTCTGTGCGCTTAGCAGCGGTGCCAGCAGCAGTAGCAGCAGGCAATGCAGGCACAGCTCCAATTGGAGCCTCAAACCGTGTTCTACAAATGTCAATCTACAATTCACACAAACTAATTTCCAGTGTGACTTCAGTAATGCTTTACATTTCACAGGCGACGGTTCGGCGACTTACGTGAAACGAGTTGAAACGTCAAAAATTCGCATTGACAGTGAAAAAGACAGCGACGCGGCGCAATCGATTAATATAATTGTTGCTGCCGATTGTGGTGTAAGCAAGCCACAGCGGTGCACATATCAGAGGCGCCAAGTTAAAGGTGAAATTAATGCATCATCGGATCAGTGTGTTGATAGTGAAAAATTGGAAAAATCGGTTAAATCCGAAACCTACGGTAAGCGTGTAAAGAATGCGAAGAAATTGTGCGTTCGCAAGTTGGTCGTACAAACAGAATCGTGGAAAACGGCGAATGCCATAAAACGTGTTGAAGTTCAATATCGTGAAGAGCAGCAAACGAAAGCACAAGAGACAGCAGAAAGTGTAAACGAGCAGACGGTGGGAGCAGAAAGTGCAATTACACGCAAAGAAGCCACAGGTGGGCAAACGAAAAGGTTCAAATTATGGTAGTGCTATAAAAGAGTTCAAGAAAAAAGCAGTGCATGCAAGCATCAAAGAAAATAGTTTTCGTGTTTAACGAAAATAAAATGTTAATTTAGGTGATGCTAGAGTAGTGCAAAGAGTAGTGAATATATAATATACATACAAAGCGCATATATAGAGATATATACATACATACATATATATTGCATACAATACATATATATTGCATACAAATTTTCATGCGATTTCATAACCTTTTCATTCGAAAAAACCTTTAACTCAAAACAAAATGAAAATGAGAAAAAAAATTTAAGTAAATGGAATTAAAATAATACAAACATCAAAAAATAAACTAAAGGTAAAAAGGAATATAATGTGTACTAAAATATAAAAAAAATATGAGCAAAAACAAAAATACAATTTATACAAATAATAATCTTCGCCATTCGTTTCGTTCATTCATCATTCAGCTTAACTCTACTTCCTTGAGTAATAATGTCAAGTTAATCTATGAAAATTCTCTTGTATAGCATTTATCTTATAATTGTTGCAGTTGTAATGGCAGAAAATATTCCTGAACTAATCTCGGATAATGCTGCCGAATTGACAGTTCTCAACGGATATCTTTTTTTGTTAGGCAGGTCCAACTATAGTGGGAAGTATAGTTTAGATGCTTCTAATCTGAATAATTTCGCCCAATTGCACTTAGACAACGCGAAAACTCTGAGACTAGTTGGAAGGCAATTATTTAATTGACTAAACCTACCTAACATAATAAAATAATCCAGCGCTGTTAAATCGCATGTTTTTGGAGGCCTCAGCACAGGCCCACGACGCGAGATAATGCGCTCACCAATAGTTTCCTTTAACAAATTGATGGTGTCTTGTTGGATCCAAAGCTCATCCATATCAACATCTTCAAAGAAAACTAAAATGGCAACATGAGAATATGAGATTATGGAATGATCAACTTCATTCTGAATGCTGTGGCAGGTTAAACTCCTACTTATCTAGAATCGACCCCAAAATAACAAACATATGGTATTTCCAGCGTGCAATGAGTCCCCGCATAACTCTAACCACCTCTTTGCATACTCACCCCGCTCAGCCTACAATCCTCTTCCCATGGTCCGACCAAGTCGAAACAGCACCTTTTCTGGGCCTACCGTTAGATGACTGCGATGACAACCAACCCGAAACTTACTACCCAAGCGGGGTCTAATTAACTGCTAAGTTCTGAAATTTCGTCTAAAACTAGGGTATGCCACGCCTATAATCCAGTTTTAAACTAATCTGCATATTGGTCGAATGTATCATATCAGCCACATCGAATTCCCAAAATTTCTATTCAAGGCAAAAATCGAGCAAAAAAATGCAATTCAAGTAGAAAATTTAGAATAATCTATACTTAACCAACACTAAATTCAAAAGGAAGAACCAGTCGAAAACTGCATAATCTCAAAATGGATCTATATTAGCTTCAATATATTGTAAATTTTGCTTTATATATCAAAAATAAATTTTGCTTTATTATATATATTATATATTCATAAATATAAAATATATATCTATATAAATCACTTCAGGCTACGAACATCACACTGTTCATACAGTGATTTTTCAACGCTTGATTATTCCCCTTCACCTAGCCGCAGCGCTACAGCAGTGCCAACACTGTTCAACACAAATTTTACTTATTTTTTCTTGTTTTGCGCGCTGCTCTTACTATTCTGTATGTATCCCACTGCGTGTGTATGCAAACTCGTCTAAATATTTAGCTGCCACTTAGGTATAACGTTTTGGTCATTCTACAGCCATGTCATGTTGCACGCAACCACCTCCGCAGTTCACCGACTCGGTGTTATGAATTCCAGTTCCAAGCGAGTAACCACTAATAGCAGTCTGCCAGCAGCATTACCAGCAAATTGTTAAATACATGCAGACATACATATATGTATGTATTATGTGAATGTAAATGTGTGTGTGTGTAATGCTCCAGCGGGTCCCTTAACCTAACAAAGCACGGCAGAAGCACAATTTTTACGGTACATAAATATTATATATGTTATTTAAAGATCGAGAGCGGGGCAATAAGTACATATACATATGTATATATGCTTGTAAGTACATATATATATTTATACATAACTGTGTTTATGAGTATACCAAATACGTTTCTAATACCACACATGACCTTTGCCTGTCTGCTGGCAACCTTAACACGTTTCCGGTCATTTTTTAATATCTTACCATTTTCCACTTTCTTTCGTAAGTCGCGGTTTTTCATTTTTGTTTTGTTATTCTAGTTTTTAAGACACCATACTTTCTACTACCCAGCTCAGTTCTAGTAGCCGGTCAAAATAATGCTGTTTTTCACCCTGCTTGACAGCTCTACTTTTGCTCTTCACCCTTTGTGCCCACTCTCCCTTCCAGTTGTTATATTTTGGTTGTTCTTTTCTCATATTCGGCATATGTAAATGTGTGCTGGTGCTCTGTTAAGCGCTGGAAGTTTGTTTTTTACATTCTTTCTTCAACGTCACATTCTGGCAACTGACTTTACTTTTGTTTACGCTGGCGTTGTCACTTTTGCGTCTGTCGCTGAAAGTCTCTATTTGTTATGTGTGGGTCGCTAATAAAAAAAATACATGAGTACATAGATATAAACGATGTGTGGCATATCTCAGCTCGGTAAAAGAGGGGGTTCATAAATTTGCCGCATATTAAAATTTTGATGTCATAAATCTTTTGCTTTAATTGTTTATTCCAAGCATACCATATGTTGTGTAGTAAGATTGATTGTGAACGCGCAAGTATTCGCAAAATTTGAACTTGATGTTTTTTTTTTTTTGTTTTGGATAGGGCTTGGCTCCCTGAGTGTGATGGGTGAACACATAATAGTTATAAATAGCTAATATCAGCATTATTTACTAAACATTGATTGAATTTCGGATCGTGTAAAAAACAACACCCAATAGGAATTCACAAGCAGTATAATATCACTTGAAATGTAAGCCTTAATATTATACTCTACTCTTAGCATAATGGGAGTAGTTATTGGAGCGACTCCCACAAATTTTTCATAAATTACACCAAACAAGTTAGCAATAATGTATATTACACACCTACAATGAGTTGCCATCAAATAACGAATACTTGTAGAGTAGCAAATCGAACAAACAACTGGTCCAAATTAAACATAGGCAGCAGTTGCTATAAATAATAAACATTACTTCGTTTCATCAACATTTTGAGGGTGCCGAATCGTTCAGACAACCGGTATAATTGCAGTAAATTGGTATAATTATATAAAAGTAAATCTGTAACCGCTTATACAACTTCAAATAGGACACCATCGGGTTAAATTAAATTGCATAACTTTATTTTTGCTTTCACTTCCACATTTTGTTGAAGAGAGCGGAGCTCAAATCAAGCGAGTAGAGACGAAGCGAATCGAATATGATTTATGTGTCGTAAACTGACAGACAAACAATTGGTATAAATATTTGTATGACCAAGCACAATTGATTTCTTGGGAAGAAGACTCTGTGACTAAAATTAGCCCAAATTATTAGGCGGTTATTTAACTAGCCCTCAGTGAATTTAGATATGTTACTAATTAATCCTCCTCTCCTCGAGTTTCAATGACTAAATTTTGAAAATATGTATCCCTCAAGTGTGCTTAAAATAAAGGGTGTTTTTTAGACATGCGGTTTTCAAGAAGAAAAGGAGCTATATTATAACGATAACAGTTCGCCACTTCGTTTTAAAAATGATTTTGGCCAAGTGACCACAGCGGCTGCCTTGAATAAATTTCAGTCGAGAGGTTCAATTTTCGACCGCTTTTTGGTGGGACCGTATGTCAGCAATAACGTGACGAATATACTCTTCCAAGACGTCAATTGTCTCGGTACACAAACGACCCAACAAAAAATAGTCCACCGATGTTAAATCGCATGACCTTAAAAGTCACGCCACATGCTCATGACGCGGGATAATCTGCTAACTAAAAGTTTCCTTCAATATATTGATTGTTTCGTTGGTTGTAGGGAATGTAGTTGAAACTGAAGGTCGTCTACATCAAAATCCTCTAACTCAGGCAAAAAATATGTCAATAATCATTACATATTGACTGAAGCATTTTGGCCGGCTTCATTTGAAGAAATGTGAACTAGTGATTCTCTCTGCCTCTGAACTCTATACTAGACAGTGACTTTTTAGGATGTAATAGCATTTCAACAATGGTTTGTGGATTATCATCGCTCCAAATGCGACAATTTTGTTGATCAACGTATCTATTCAACCAAAAGTGAGCTTCGGCGCTGAAAAAATTTTCTTGCGAAAATCAGGAGCGGTGGCCATCTCGTTCTGAGCCCATTCACCGAACGTGCAATGCGCCTGACGGAATTTCGGCTTCAGTTCTTGCACGAGTTGGATTTTAAAAGTCCGGTAACCAAGATCTTTCCGCAAATTCTTTCATAAAGTAGATGGGCACATCTCCAATTGTTACGCGCGTTGAAGAATGTACTCATTCAGGCCTTCTTCAATACTCTGCTCCACAGCAGCAATAGCATTTTCGTTGCGCACTGTACGGCATGTCTAAGGATGTGCATAATCTACTAGAGTAAGTGGGGTGCGAGACCGATCCATAGTTGCTCGAATTACCGACTCTGCTGGGCGATTATGTCGACCGAATGAGATGCGCGATGAGTCACACGAACCGAACCATTATTTTGGCAATAAATTTTCGGGACTTGCATACGTTTTTCCGGAGTAAGCCTGTTTGTTATGAAATGGCAAACCAAACTGGGTATAAATCAACTAACAGCTGTCAAAAAGACCAACTCCGAAAAAAGTATTGGCTCATTGAAAATATTACGTCAAAGAAACACCCTTAGAAACGTTTTCAGTTTTTCGAAACTTCTATGGACGATTTGAGTAGATGTCATGGTAAATGATGGTGCTCGTTTCTTGAGGATAGTATAACGGTAAGCCATTTAATTGAACTGGGTAGAAGACTAAATTGAGGCACCAATCTTTTATGAGACCGTGTTATAAAAAGTTATTAACAAAGCTTTTTTTCCCGCTTTTTGAAGAATAATCGCAATGACCTCATTATTAAACGAAAATTATATTTTTTAAACATAATATGTAATGCGCTTTGCAAGGGCTAGTCCTATGAAGTTAATCTGCTTCAGGCGAGGACTGAACTTGCTCTATTTGCAAAAAAAAAAATTTTTAATCTTGCATAGCGCAGCCAAGAGAAGCTCTTTATTTTGATAAAAAAAATAATACAAAGATAATATGAATTTAAAAGTAGTACTTCGGTCAAAATTGTATTAATGGAGGCAATGAATGCATCATCGATTAATGCAATAAGCTGATACATAAATATATCATCAAGTATTAATTTCTCATAATTACATATATAACCTTCTCCAATAGACTTATAGAGGAAAATTTAAACTCATTAACATACTTATTTGTTATACCTCCTAGAAAATATTGTGTAGTGTTTTATAAACAAATTTTAAATTAGAAAAATGTACAAATACCCTCTCACTACAAAATCGGAAACTATCATTTCCCCAACAACAGGAATTCCGCAACATTTCATATCCTTAAAACCTTTACCTTGCTTCAGTATATTAAGATACTTAGCATAAAGTAAAGTAAAATGAAAAGCACTACTTTTCTCTAACTTTTGATTATTCTTCCACACTTTTGCTTCACTTTCGCTGCTGCGGCACAATTTTCCACTAAAAATCGCTTTTCCACCGCTGCAGACACACTCGATGAAGGGGAAGTCTATGATGAGTACAACAACATGCTCATCTCCTCCGGTCGCCATAGTGCACGGCAACAGCCACAACTACAGCAACAACATCAACAACAACAACATAACTATGATATTGTTCTACTTAAAGAATTGTCAACAAGTTCTGATTCACTCTTTACAGACCCTCTTTCACCGCGTAGCATTGGCGAACAACAACAACAGAGTGCAGAGACGACTGCAAATGAAACGGACAAACGTACACACTTACGCACATACAATCGTTTGGCAGCGCGTGGCCTCAACGATTTGCCAACGCTTATTAAAGATCGACCGATCAGCGAGATCAGCATAACATCGGCCGATACTTCGGGTATACTCTCGCCGACAACAGCACGTGCTGTGTACGAGCTACAGCGTCGACATCGCGCCGATAAGGTAGCACATTTGTCCGTCTCACAAACGACATACTTGGAATTAGTGCCCGACGCGAGTCCCGAGCTCGAGTCGGATAGTCCGGATGAACAGATGGCATTGCAATTGGGTAAGAAATTGGCACAAGTGCTAAGTAGTAGCGGCAGTAGTGGCAGCGCAGCCACAGTGACGCCACAAGATAATGCCACCGTGGGCACTGTGGGCGGTGCGGATCTCTTCGGTAATCTGGCGAAGACCAAGAAAATTGAATTGCATAATTTATCGTCGCGACTGGGAACGGCAGCAACTACAACGCCAACTGAGGAGAAAACAGGTGAGTGAGTTTGGTTTATAATAATTTAATAGCATTCACATCTCATTTACAAAAAAAAAAAAAACAGCTTTTTTTCAATAATAGCCATATTTTGGCTGATTTCCTTAAAACAGATCTACGATCTGCCAAGTTGACTATATTGTTTTGATCAGCCTATAATCCCACCCTGATTTTTTATACTTATATATTGAACCGCGCGTAGAAAAAGTAAAAGCTCGTTAAATTAGTCTCAATCCTCGAGTATTACAAATTTACTTAAAGTAAAAGGAATCACCCTTCATAAATATTTTTCAAGCTCAATTAGCATTAACTTTTTCTTCCTTATGAACTCAAAGCCACCTTCGTGCATCTGATTTTTAAGGAAGAATATTCTCGAAGGTTTGGCATTGACTGCCGGGGAACGTCCGACTTCTTCTATCGAAAGCAATCGCCCAGAACTGGTCAGTTTTGCCCAATAGACGAGGAATTGTGTTCCATCAGGACAACGGTGGTCAAGCCAGGATTGATAGTCAGGAAGGTTTTGCTCTCTATATGGTGGTTTTGGGATAGCAGGGAATAATTTACTATGAGCTGCTTTTCTACTACCAGACAATTAATACGGACATGTACTGTCAAAAATTGGACCGTCAGAAGAAAAAAATCGCCTAAAAGCAGCCAGCTTTGACCAATAGGATAGAAGTAATTGGGCACAATCAAGGCAACGCCAGACCGCGCGCACCGATAGTGACTCGCTAGGAGCTCCGGTATCAAGTGAATACGATCTGTTCTTGTCTATGCCGAAGGATTTTGCTGGTGAAAAATTTGGCTTAAGAGAAAGTTGTGAAAATGAACTGTCACAGTTGTTTACCAATCGAGACGAGAGTTTCTATGAGACCACCATTTATTTTTATTTCTTTTCTAAAACCTTCAATTTAATGCAAGAGTAATGAATTTACTTTTACTGGGCCTTTATACCTTTATACAGCTTAATTACTAAATCCTAGAGAGCAACTAACAGTCTGTTTGAAAATAAAGTCTATACACTCAGTGTAAGCTATTCCGTGCGTACACAAATATTTATTTTCCAAAAACCTTTCAAGAAATTTTTTCAGTGTTTCTAATATATTGTCAGTGGGTGTAAATACATTTGCAAATATTTATAATCAAGCGCTCAAGATTTAGCAGACAATCATACAAAAACATAATCAAATAATGTTTAATAAAGATTTAAGTCTTTAAGCTCATCCACTTGCTGCTCCGTGTTTACATTCCATTAAACGCTCCATTTGCGTAAAAATAATAAATAAACAGCGTCAACCTATCAACGTGCTATTACGACATGCGCTCCCATTACAAACACATATGTATATATACTTATGGTATATGGTAGGTCAAACATATATGACCGGCTTTTAGGCGCATGCTGCTCGTATTTATTTACCCATTAACCCAGTCAAAACAAATGCGGCAAAAACATTTACTTTACCCCTTAACACACTACCGTCGCAATTGAGTTGCATGTGGACAGACACACGAACATTCAGGCAAATATACATACTTGTATGTATATAAAATCACTCTGGCAAAAATTTGGTAGTGGACGTGAGAATGTGACCTCAGTGGATGCTTTTCATTTTGTATGTGGACACACACATACATACAATAATGAAAAGCTACAAGCTCAAAGGAGGGCATGTATGTATGTAGAAACAATTCGGTAACAATTACAATACCGTTACTTGCATATACGTATAAGTTGTGTACATGCAGCCGCATCAGCTGTGTTGGTGCGCACACACACGTGGTCGGCACAAGCTAGAAGTTATTTAAATACCCTTATGACCAACAAATCCTAGATCATACACAACTCTATTTGGCTAGCGACGAGACAACGAATGTGTATGTGAAGTAAATAAATGGTTGCGGAGTTGCAACCGCAATAACTGGAGATACATACACATGAAATATTTCCAAATATTTAAAGAACATTCGTAGTTCAAAAGCTCGAAATGCTAGAAGTTCTAATATTAATAATATTCTCATAAGTTTTAAGTACATTCTTCTTCAGCATTGGCCTTGTAACAGCTTAAGCAATTCTGAAGGATTCTAACATACTATAGCTCTACTGACATTACATTGCTTCAGAAGTGGTAAATTAGACTTAAATTTTTTCAATTATTAAACAAATAAGATCCTCTCCTGTATTCTTCTGCAACCACCAGCTGAGCAGATTAGCTACTTAGCTGAAGAGTCTACTGCATGTATCTCAAGAAGTCATCTTATGTGATTTTCACTGCCTGCAACGCGTAAAGGTTCATGCCTCTTCTGTACAATCTTTCTCTGACACACCCAAAGAAAAATTCTCTTTCGGCGAATAAAGCAAGTATTTAGGAATCTCTCAGCTGGATATAAAGACTGGCATTGTCCACTGTGCCTATTCCGACACGAAGACAAAGATTTTGACCACAGCTTCCAAGTGTTTATTAGCAAGATAGCGCGCTAATTTTTCTTAAGCAGAATAGATATATCCTGTCATAGCGACATGAAAATCACTTCCAATTGTGATACCATAAGCGGTTTAAAAGTCAACAAATAATCGACTGTCGATTACACATCTCGTGTCTTTCTCAAGATTTGACACATGGTTAAAGTCGGATTACTTCTAGATTTAACTGTCTAAAGTCAAACTTTTAAAGTCCCATGAGCTTTAACCGACAGAATCTCATACTCAATATTAGGAGGACAAATCACCTGTTATTTGGCGTAGATTGTGGCATCACCGATCTTTTAGATTGGTCAAAATATGCCATCATTCAATGATTAGACTTAAGATTTAGAACGTATACGAGCACAAAGTATTTAATCAGTGCATAGACGACGAATTAAATAGTTTTGCCGATGATATATCGGCACCGCCAGTATTGTCCTTTAGCCAGACTAAAGTTTTTGTAAATTCCTCATGTTTGGGTGATAGATTATATTGTCATAGATTGGAGGTTCTGGCTAATCATCTGAACTCGGTGTTTCACTGCTCTATCTATTCAGCTGAGGGAAAAATACTCAATCCATGACATCAGATCATAAGGACATCTGTGATTCGGTCTTTTTTCCTTTTACAGCTATTTGCACTAATATTTGAATTCAAGCTCTTAACACTCATGTATTTCGGTCCTTTCCATTTTGTTACACAATGTATGTCCCACTTTTTATACCCTGAACAAGGTATATTAAGTTTGCCACGAAATTTGTAACACCCAGCAGGAAATGTCGGAAACCCTCTAAAATATATACATAAATGATTAGCAATTCCTTTCTTTACTAAGAAGCTACTCATTTGTCGAAACGGCCGATATCGGACCACTATAGCATATAGCTGCCATACAAACTGAACAATCGAAATCAAGCGCTGGTATGGAAAACTTTTTCATTAGACGAGGTATCTTCACAAAATTTGGCATGAGTTATTTCCTAAAACAAAAATGTATTCTCCGAAGAAATTGTACAGATCGGAACACTTTAGCATATAGCTGTCATACAAATTGAACAATCGGAATCAAGTTCTTGTAAGGAATATTTGTATTTGTGAAGGGTATTTTAGCTTCGGTGCAACCGAAGTTAACGTTTTTTTCTTGTTTAATCATTTATTGGAATTACACTTTTCTTCGCTTGCCAAAAAATGTCTGATTTCTTGGTCTAATATGTGACCTGCAACAATATTTTACGGAAAAAATCTCACTTCTAATTGTTCAATATCAAATTTCGTAACATTAGAGCCTCAACTTATAGACCTTGGAGCATAGCGAATGTCTGATCTGATATATCCAACTAAGAGCTATCACCAAATCCAAAAAAACCACGGAGTTTCGAATACTTTTCTACCTTATACAAAACCTAATAATTTAAAAGCTTCTCACACTTTGAAGCACACTTTTTTTAAATTGAGCTTTTGATATTTATACGAACGGATAGCGAGCCGCCGACTCGCCGACTGCTAGATGACTGCTCTACCTACCCAATATGGCGATCGCTAAGCGACGAAGCTTAGATAGGTGGAAAGAGCTTCTTAAAAAACCTTTTTGACTTATGACTTTTATGCACAAGTTTAAAATAATATTTTTAAGGCAAAAAGTGAAAGTTTATTTTTATAAATCATTTAGGGATCCATTTATTATAATGGTAACACCTTTTTAAATGCGTTGCCAACACTCCTTTCAATGAAAAACTTTTAAGTTACTTCACAACTTTTCTCCGCCTACTAATGATAACAAAACAGAAATTCAAAAGTAAACTCGATAAAAATTATTTTTGTTGCCAAAATTATTTAAAAAAAATATACCTTAATTGTTATTACAACAAACGTACATATTGTTTTCTTAGTAAATTTATGATAAATATCATTTTTTCCTGTAAAAAGTTTCCGGCACATCAATACGCCTATCAGCATTCTTTGCAAATGCGCTGTTATTTTAAAACTTTCCAAGAACACCCGTTCGCCACTAATTAAAATCCTTCAACCCGAAAAAATGTAAACATATTAATTAAACCCCGCACTTGAAAACCGCCCTACAAACAAACTTGCAACTGCTCATTCACCCTTTCTCTCAAACGATAAGATTTTAAACGTTATTGCCTAAGCTTTTATCGAGATAATTTTTCCTTTTTCTTAAATCTCCTTTTCATTTTTATTGACCTTAAAAGTATTTTTACAATTATATTGAAAGCTCGTTGCACAAACACAAGTGCTTATGCATGATTTTTTTACTGTTAATTAAATTAGGTTATTTTATAAGCACTTCACGTACGAAAAGAAGGTACACGGCTAAGTAAATTAGTCATCCGAGACAGACGTAAAGAGAGTGGGCTTACTTTAGAGATACACAAATGGACTGTTTAGTGTGTTTGCTAATAATAAACATAAAAGTTAGAAATATCAGCAAAGTAATGATAAGTATTATTTATACAAAACTATGAAACGTAGGAATAAACAACGAAGGGTGTCAAAGCATTGGGAAGAGGAGTGCGTGGTTAAAAGAAAAGCTTTAATATTCTCTAACTTAAAAAAGCGTGATGGCAAAAGTTTGGAGATAAAAAATTATATACTTTTATGGCTTGACCTATTGGAGCTATCGACCACGCCTCAACTGACACGACAAGCTTCAAAGAACTGTCAAAAATCATCATGAGTTTGTATGAGACATATTTGACATGAACTTGTAGATTTTGTTGGCCGAATAAAATCCGGGTCAGTACCAGTAACGTAGTGCCTCAAGTTTGTCCGCGTCTTTTATCATTATCTTAAAAGCTGTTTTGAATCGCCATCTCTTACAGATTTTTTGATATGTGTCCTTACTACTTTTTAGTTCAGATTCTTTTTTGGCCAAAGTCCAAGCTGCAAATTCTGTTAATTTATTTAGTCGACTGTGGACGATAAACTAGAACTTGATACTGGCAGCTATCGATATCCATCATCTGTCTATGGACCGCTATCTTGCGGAAGGGATCATTACTAGTTGAAAGCCTGCTCTTCCGAAGCAGCCTTTTTTGTATATCTACGAGGAAAGTCGCTTCACAGTCACTAGAATAATTTTTTCCTTCGTCTATCAAACTAAATGTTTCTTAAAGTGCTCTGTAAGACCGTACTTTAACAGCAGATACTCTTAAAAATGACAGAAATAGGAGCGAACAAGATGGGAGCTTGCGTTCCGCATTTATTTAGCGGTTTGAATATTTTCTACAGATCTTACTTTAATTTGCGTTTCTTGAACCAATTCAAGCTCTAAAATCGCGAGGAACAAAAGAAAACTGGATCCACATTATATTACCGAACATTCGGACATTTTTATTTCAAACTCACAGGCTTTCATTACAGCGCTAATTTTTCAGCATCTTAGCGCTTTTATTACAAATTAAAAAAACGATCTATAATTATATAGGCTTCTTATTAACGCATCTTTAAGACAAACCACTGTATAAATGCTCGTTTCTTATGGTGGGCGTGGGGTTATTTTTCCGAGGTTATTTATTTTATTATCCCTTTACTGTGTTTATTGGTAAGGCTCATTGCCTTTCATTTGTTTTCTTATTATCATTATTATTTTTTTTTTTTGTATATGAACTTTTTGTTACTTTTTACGGATTTCCTTTTTCTTTTTATTTCCTTTTTTCCGGCTCATCACCGCCTGCCAAAGTAGAGCCCGCAAACAATTACAAAGAATATAAGTTCGTCTCATTTTTGTTAACAAAGAAACGTGTTTTTCCTTTTTCTTGTTTCTTTCATGGTTTCACGGCGCATACCACGCCCCCACCACCACCGACACCGCCAACCTACTACAACAACACCTTTACGTTCACCAGATGCCAGCACAACGAACAGCAAACAGTTGCCGCCTTCAACAGAAACTCAATCAACCGTTATAATTTCGTTTAAATCATCGCAAACACCTGTTCAGTCTCAGCAACAGCTACAGCTACAGCAACAGCAACAATCGCCAGCACCAGCGACACCGCCTCCAACGACAAGAACGAAACGGGAAACCGCTAGCGTGTCAACCCCAACCACAACCACAGCGGCGGCGACGGCGGCGGCTGGAACAGCATCGGAAGTTGCTGCATCAACGCCTACGAACGCTACAATAACAACTACAACAGCAACAGTTTTGGCATCCACAGAAACTGGCGCTCTAACGGCAACACCTTTGACACCCGCCACACCTAGCAACAATGTACTCAAACGTGTCGCTTCACTCACGGCTGAGAAGGCAGCAGCTACAGCAGCCGCCGCCAACGCTATTAACGCCAATGCAAACGGAAGTGCGAGCGCCACCGGCATGGCCGCGCATTTGGAGTATATCAGCGGCTGTCGGCGTCTATCTTATGTGCCGGAGAAGTTAAGCTTCGCTGCGTATGAAAAGTTCGAAGGTAAGTACAAGCGTGTGCCTGTGTTATGCCTGCCTGCCAGCCAGCCTGCTTGCTTGTCTTGGTCCCTGCTAACGTTACTTAGTCCACAACGTCTTCGTCCTGTCAAATGAGTGCGCCACGAAAGGATGTTATGGCATTGTGTAGTGTCTTCTTCGCCGCTGCCGATTGACTCTCCGCTTCACTTTTGTGTGTGATTTGGTGCGCAAATTTGCACACGTTTTTATTATTCATGCGCCGGTATTTACCTTTTGTTAACTTTATCAATGTGTTGATATTTTTTCTACTCACACTTTGTGCCAAAGATTTCGCTCCTTTTTTTTTTGCAACGAAATCTTCTCTTTTAATTTCTGTTTAAATATTGACGCATATTGTAAGCGGAAATTGTAATCTTGAGAATCAGCCAAGTCAAACGTACCTACCGTTAAGCACTCCACGCGCTCTCACCCTCTCTAGCTCGCTCAGTCTCTTTAGTTACCTACTTTGAAAAACGGAAATTTGCAGCTCTCGAATGTTTAATGTAGAATTTTATAATGATGTTTGAGGCAAATAATCTTCGATTAGCTTTTAGCTGTGAAGAAAACGGTTTAATTGTGCGCGGTCAGGAAAAGAATTCAAGAGATATGACAGAACTACGCTGTTAAATGTTAGGTAATTGAAATATTTACATTTTTGCATCATTTTTAATAAAGTGTCTTAAGCTTTCCTTTAAATTATTGCGAGATTGCGCAAACTTTTGTCGCATACTGTAAGTGAATTTTATGAAATAATATTTTAAGTTACGTTGATAAATTTTGATGCCACAAGCTCAGTTAATCCAACTACATTGCAAAGTTGGGAGAGTAACAGTCGCACAGTGTGTTAAGTTAGCTACGAATTAGTAGTTTACGCAGCTAACGCATTATTTTAAAATGTAACAATGTATTTTTCTGCGACTATGTATCAAAAGAAGCCAAAACTATCATCAAAATTGCTCCTTATTGCCTAAAAACGCAATTTATTGTTTTGCCCCAATTTTAATTGAAACGAAGATGACTTTTATTTCTTCATGAAAACCACATGTATAAAAAAAACATCCTTTTATAAGAGGTTATTATAAGAGTATATGGAAATGTTGACCTTCTTTACTATGATTTGTAATAATGCTCGGGTTATAGTACGACTGATAAGCCTGTGAGATGAATTATTTTAATAGTGGCATCTCTTTCTCTCTGAAAATCTTAGCGGTAAAAACTACTTAAGAAATTTTGTAGGTCCCTAGAAGAGCAACCAGATCACATGCAGTCAAAATTTGGCATTTGAGAAACTTCACAAAATATGGCTTGTTAGAATTTAATATTAATTCCCTCAGAATTTGTTAATATGTATATTCGATTTAGATATCTTTAAAAAAATGATAAAAATGATACTATGAAAAAGTTTGAAAATAAAAAACCTTGAGAATTGCTTTGAAAAATTCTGAAAAAAATAATTTTTTGACCAACAGAGGATTATAAAATTCTAGAAAAATATTTTACAGAAATTTTTACTAAGCGGTTTCTCAAACAAAAAATTCTTTTGATCTTCTGAATAGAAATCTACTCGACTATTCAAAATTCTTCATCGAGAAAAAATATTTGAAAATATTTTTGACACCTACAACACCACTGTGCGACTTTTGAGCTTAGCAAAACTTCTGTGCGCCATCATTCCGCAGCAGTCAACCGACAATGAATATTACAACAACCACATAACCAAGCAAGCCAGCAAGCAACACTGTTGTATATTACCAAACAATGCAAACAACAAAATTAAAGACAACAACAAAACAGATGCCATAAAATCGCTGAACAGCATACAGCATAGCAGTGCAAAGAGTGATCGTAGTGCAAATATTGTTGCAAAATTATGTGCATGCAACATTTTACATTGCAAACAGATGCAGATGCGCCAACGCATTTCATTATTGCGATGCACGGAGCCACCATCTGTGCAGCGACACTACTCACTTACATAGCTTTCAACAGCAAAAATAACAAAAACAGCAACATGCGACACGCAACGCCCAACGCCCACCGCCCACCACCTTTGGCATTTCACGACTTTTATCCCGACATGAAACGAAAGCTCACACGCCAACCATCAGCGATGACTTGTATTGTGGCGCATAGAATACTTACAGCAGCGCCGAGTGTTGTTGCAAGTAACCTTGCAACACTCGAACTGCCTTCCTGCCTGCCTGTCTTCCTGCTGCTTGCTGTTGTCAGTTTTATTGCTGTCGCGTATAAATCAGATTTTCGTTGTTTACCCAAAATCCATACCGTCAAAACACAAAACAAACGGTCGAGAGGAGAGCAGGTTCGGGTTTAGCGTGGTCTAAGCAGGGAATATGGTGGTGGCGTGCAGAGAAGACTGCCAACTTTAACGCGTTTATTTAGCAAACATCGCTGATGGTGGCAATAATCATCTAAATGTTGTTGGTGCAACCGTATAAGCTTGCTGCTGGCAAGCTGAAGGACACTTACAATGTGCGACTGTAACGGGAAGATGACTTAGCATTGCAACACCGTTAACCGGTAACGCATTAAAAATTTTAGCTCATTAGGAGAAGCGGGCGCGATCTCAAATGCGCTATTGGCTTAGCATTTTCATTAGCTCGGTGCGTGAAATGTGCTGGAGGCTTGAAAAGGAGGAATTTGGGATATTTTGTGAGACATTGCTGGCACGAAGAACGCGCTATAAATTATCATTACAGCGCAAATGAAGTTTGTTTAATTAGCAGCTTTGAGAAATAGGTACTTGAAGGCGTAATAAGGTCGCGGTGAGGCACTTAAAATACATATAAAACGAATTGGTTGACAAGTCGTAAAGCTTACTTTAGCAGATGGGAGGTCCAGGGCATATGTGGGTGATAAAATAAGGTATATTCTGTTGTGTTTGAGAATTGAAAATTTCATAGATGGATTTAACGGTGTTTTGGTACGAAGCTAATTAAGATTGCTTGTGCTCCAGTTAGTAATTGAATAAATACAAGTAATTGTGCACCAATATTCAAATCGTGTAGAAGAATTCCTAGAAAATCTGAGAAACTAAAATACCAATATTTATTAACAATATCTGCTTGATAGACCGATAACTTTATCTTGATATACCGAGAACATTATCTTGGACTGCACCATGTACTGAAATCCCTAGGAAAACTCAAAATGTCATATTTTAGAGAGCTTAGAGTTTAAATCGACTAAAAACAATCATTTTGACTAGGGTTTTCATAATTTTTAAACCAAAAAATTATAATGGTTTTAAAAATCGCACAAAAATGTTCTATAGGGTATAATAGTTGTAGTTTCGTAGTTCCCTTGGAATCATTTGCTCGTTCATATAGCAGAACCTTGTGATCAGAAAGTACAGTAATCAAATAAAATAATTATTTATAAGAAATTTTAAACTGATGAATGAGACATTTATCTGCCTGATTAGTCAATAAGACAGAGACTAAAATCAGTAGGGGACCACTATTTCATTATTTTGTAAAACAAAATGTGTATCTCTCTCTAGCCACTTAATCAATTTGAACAAAATTGATTTCTTAGATGTGTTCTTCCACTCGATTCTTCTTCTTCTTAATTCTTCCCTTCGTACGTCGACGCCAAATTAAGACGATATCTTTTTTACATTTATTCCTTCTTTTGAAAAAGGAGGCCCACTGTTATGACCAGCTGGTACCACAGTGAATGCTTTCAAAGTTAGAGCGTTCGTATTAATTGCGCTAAGTTATTTCAGTTTCATGTGAAAAATAGTAAAAATCAAGACAAGAACCTTCTAAATTCATGTTTCCATTCCTCATCCATCACAAGATAGCCAATTTTGAGACAAGAAATAGATAACAGACTTAAATTGATCGATTTTCCTTAGCAAGGGAGCAATAGAGAATTTTATAAAAGCAGCTGACACTACCATATATGGCGATTTATCGGACGCCAAAAATTCCGTCAACTTCACAATGAAACCTAAAGCAAAAACAGGGATTACACCTTCACTTAGTGAACACCAATGTCAAATTAATTTTTGTTTATAATGTATATTATAATAAATATATTTCGGTGTTGATATGACAGAGATTAAACAGAAATGTTTGGAATATTTTCGATTTTTCTTCGTCACTAATTTACTTGAAAAGCAAATATTTTAAGATGAAAGCGTAAATTAACTAAAAATCCTAATAAGTTTATTATTTAAACAATTTTAACTCATAAAATTTATGATAATTGTACCGAAATTACTAATTGTGGTAATAAAGCTCTAGCGCCACCTAGTGCTAGTACTTTTTTTATACGTTGTTGACATACCGATTTACACACACAGTCGTAATATAAACCAAAATCGATCACAAAACCGATTTTCGGAAATAATTTTTCGGTTGCGCCATCTAGCGCATAGCTTTGTAAGAAGAAAACTATCCTGGGGAATATAAATATAATTAGAGACTTAGCCAAATCGCAGCATATGCATATTAAAAGAAAATTACTTAATTGCAACGCCTTCTAGCTTTCTAGTTTTGAATGCACCGAAATAGCAAACCGAATATACTAACCGGTTTTAAAAGGTATTAGTTATTGTACATAAAAATTAAATTTTATTGTATTTTAAAAATAATTGAAATTAAAATGTGTAAGAAACAGTTCTTAATGGAAAATTCTAAGTGGAAAACTTTTAACTTTGAAAAGGTCAAGGTCAAAATACAATGAATAACCGATGTTAGAAAAAAAAACTTAATTAAAAAATATTCTCTGTAAATATTGAGAAAAAACAATTAATTTTCACAACTTAACATTTCCCACACACATGCTAAAGACTTATTTTCAAAACAATAAATTTGGATATTTACATTAACTGTAAATTATTTCACACAACAGTGTCATCGAACAAATACACACACTTAAAATTGTTCGCTCAGTGCAAACAAATGATTGAATAATGCTTAGAAATTATCAGTTCTATAAAGCAAATGCTAAACCTATATT